TTGAGAGTAATACCTAACATTTACCAACAGGGAGAATTAATGCTAACGATGAAATGGCAAATTGTGTTAAATATAGCGAAATTTACATGTGTACCCCGAAAATCTTTTCTATTTACATATCATACCGCTAAAGTTTGATATCTACATTTATAACACATTTATGGTGAAACATAGGGAAAAAATTTGCGTACCTCAAGGGTACGCAGAGACGTGTACATAATAGGTACACGGGCATTATATGGGAGTTACATGGGGGTTACAAGCGTGTTATAACTTCCTTGTAACTTTCGTGTAACTCAGTTGTAACGCGCGCTTTTATTTTATCCATTGAGATTACAAGCTTATAGCGGGGTTACACGGGAGGTACAACGGGTTATAACCCCCTTGTAATCCCCATATAAACCCAGTGTACCATTTATGTACACATCTCTGCGTACCCCTTGACGTACGCAAACATAGACATAAAAATGTGTATTTTATTTTTATAAAATTAGTGAGATTGGTATTTTTTTTATTTTGTTGTTAAGGATTTGAGTGTTATTTATGTGAAAATTATTTGAAATTATTAAAAATATTAAATGTGAACAATTAATTGGATTTTATTTAATTATTTTCGTAGAAGAAAACTACATTTGAAATTAAAAAGATATATATAAAATAAGATTTATATTACCAGCTTCATGTTAAAGAGATCATTTCTGTTTCTTTTTTTTACATGAAGTACTCGCTTTTATTACTTTAATAATTATATTATGTACATCACAAATGTGTTAATATTGATCCTGAGGAGATCTAATTGTCTAAAAGAAAAGAATACGATCAAAAAGAGGGCTAACCGATAGAAGACCAGTGAAGTACACTTGCCCGATCGAACGAAACTGTTCTAGCCAAAGCTAACTGAACTACGAAACAGACCAAAGATGACAGCAGGATACAAGAACGATTCATTCAGACATAAATGAGGTAAAATAACATCTGAGTCAATCATCAATGAAGAGTCAATCCAAAGAAAATCCGGTCTTCTCGCTTCTCCAATAATCATAAAGAGCAATTGGGCGATAAGCTCATAGTTGTGAAATATCAAAAATACCCAGTACCACCCCCTTTAAAGCAGATGCAAAATGTAATATCATCACGATGGATTACTAGGAATAAGAAATGTTTGACACGACGCATTACTATTCATTGATGTCTCTCTTTCTTCCTAATTTGGCTCGATGCCTTGATTACTATTCATACGAACAAATCAGGATTCAATATTTTTTTATTGTTATTTTTTATGATAATAATAATTATTATTATTATTATATTTCTCTTGTTATTAATATAAAATATAAGATTTTGCATATAATCTAAAGTTATTTACGAACAAATCATTTGGCATTGTTTAATAATAAATATGATTTAAAAATATTTAAAAAAATTGTGGCCCAAAGGGCAAACGGTCCAAGTCATTGAAATTAAATATACCTTCACAAGGAATTATGAATCTTCTAATTTAAAACTATTTTTGTATGATCAAAGTTGGATCAAACGATCTTGGATGGGACACATCTTGAAGAGACAATCTCGACGAGCACCAAAAGCTAAGCGAACGATACAACTGACCGGGCCAACACCGGATGAAGAGATGAACGGCACACCATACTAGATAAGTAGTGTATCAAGTATGGAAACATTTATCTTGTTAGTTACGACGATGTTGTCGATAAAGATTTTCAAGGGCAATGTCGATATTTCTCAACTTAACTCTTACCTTCTATAAATATGAAAAAAGTGACATGTAAAGGAGTGACTTTTTAGGTGCGCAATAATATATTGACACTTCCAAAGCACTCAAGTTTTTCTCTACACTTCATGCCGTGGGTGATTCACGTACAAATATGGGTTCAACCAATTTATATTTTAAATCTATTAAAATATTTTTACGTAACCCATTTGTCAGGCATGTGTAATTTCTTCTAAAAGAAAATGTGTGAGAATCTCTGTTTAGAAAATCAGACCAACCCGGCTGGTTCGGCTAGTTCGACCGTGAACCGATTGGTTGTCTGGTTCAAGCTGGCTTAAAAATCACCCCTGCGTTGAATGGGTTTGAATTGGCTTGGAACCAACAATTTTACTTATCTAATGCCTAAGGTCTATTTTTTTTACCTTTATATCAACAATCTACATACATGCCCCCGAATTTTAATTATTTACATATCTTATACTCAAACTTTATTTTCTTACATTTATGCCACCAAAATCAACTACATCACGTAAAATATCACTATTTTTAAAATGTAAAAGACAAGTTTTCATGCATAGATAAAATGACATATTAAAATTGAATTTTAGGTGTTAGATATTTTAATACACGGGATGTGAGTGTTATGTAACTCTTATGTATTATATTTTTTTAAATATATTTATGATTTATTAGGTGATCCGATTGAACCCCAATTAAACCTCAGTTCAACCTTTAAATCTTAAACCTCTCAATTATTGTTTGAAAGTTCGGTCCCATTTTAAGTCCCTTATCTATCTAGTTATACTAGAGCAGCCTCTCTGAAAGTCGTAAGTTCCTTAAATCACATGTTCAAATCTCTCGTATTCGAATTCTTAATATACCAGGCCGCCCCCAAATCTAGCGGGGTTTGAGCTCATTAGGGTGGGTTGGGGACCTCAAGCCCGGTCCCATTCTTATATATATATATATATAGAAATATATTTTTATTGAAAAAAATCACATAAAAAAATATATATATAAGAAATGGCAATTTCATTATAATCTAAAATAAATGTATTGGAATATCCTTTAAAAAATTTATTTATGTGGTACCTCGAACCAAGTACCAGCAAATTATGAAGCACTAGTTTTTGGTCCCGGCCAGGAAAAGCTGCTAATTTGGTCCCCCATTATCCCACCTCCACCAATCACTCTCTCTATCTCCAGCCGCAGGGATAAGCAACTCGCATGTGGCCTTCTTTTTATTGCACAAACTTTTTCTTTAATTCGAGGTAGATAAATGCAGAACAAAAAATTAATGGTGTGAGATATGCAAGACACAAGAATTTCATGCTAGGTAGGTAGTTATTGTGTGACGGCGACTTCGAGATGGTTCGATGATTGTGGAGCTTAATCATGCTCATCAGTGTAACATCCTCTTTAAATGATGCATGAATATTGAACACTTTATGGGACGACCCAAAGTAATTTTCTTGATTGATTGACATTTAATAAATATTTAAGTCCCCATTTGGCACGGCTTATTTGTCAATGTACGGCATGAAAACACTGTTTCACACATTTGGTTACTTCTATTGTAAACCACATTATAGTAATGGGTAGATTGATCATTTATCTAGAAATAATTGCAGCACAGTTTTTTCAAAACTACAGAAACATGCAGATAACTCGCGTATCCGCAACAATTTCCTGTCACAACTACTACGCACCAACTTTTAAATAAGCTGAAGCTACCTCAAACAGACCCTAAGTGTTTTTATGATGACAGAATTTAGTGATCTCAGACTCATTGGATTATTCTCATTGAGAAGCTCGATATAACTATAAGGTTCTCAGATATGGAATTCATTTGATATTCAATCGATCACTCAATACCTCAAATTGCACTTAAATTGGCTTGATTGGGCCCGTGTTGGATGAAGTTTAGGGTCGTTGGGTTCATGTAGTCGAGACAATCAGTTCGATCATAAGATTAAATGATCATATATTCATATTTGAAATTATTTTTTATTCAAAATAGTTTGGGATTCTGCGTGATTAAAAAAAATTAAAAGGCATATCAATTATATAGTAAAATTCAAATGATGCACTTATGTGATGATGATTGCTTAGAAATTGTTATTGCACTGAGGAGCAGATGTCCATCACATTTGTTGAGACGAGTATGGTCTAAGAGTTTGGATGTTTTTTTTCTTCTCTTATAAAAATTGCTTCAGAGGGGCAAGTTCCTTGATTTAAAAATGAAAGCTCTAATGAAAAATTATATGAAATGAATTAGAGACAATAGAGTTTAAAGGACGTAAAAAATAAAATATTTAAGGATGCAATATCTTCTCTCATCAGGTGAAGGTTTTGTTGTCCATCTGGGATGTCTATGCGTAACCTCATATTCAAAATATATGTCTACGCTCATCGCACATTTCAAGATATTAAATCCTTTTGAGACTTATGATCTCGTATTATAAGAAAGAAGACGTACGCTCACCGTACATTTTTATAAGCCCTGAAATGTCTTTTTATCATGGTATAAAATGTTATATGAACGTATATAATGTTAAGTCATATCCAATAACTTTATGATATTTCTAGCAGTTTCCTGGCAAGTCCGACAAGTTTATGTAATGTTCGAATGTTTTATGTTGTATCATCTTATAGTTGAACTTGATAGTTCGACAGTTTGACAATTTAACAATTTGGCAACTGGAAATTTTGTCAATTCCATAATGAGACAGTTTGATTAGTTCTTCAATCATATAGTTCAACCAATTCTCCTACTAAGTAGTTCAACTGGTTTTCAGACTAAGCCGTCCAACCAGTTCTCCTGTTAGGCAGTTCAACCAGTTCTTTAGCAAGACAGTTCAACCAGCTCTCCTATTAGGTAGTTCAACCAGTTTTATGGCAAGAAAGTTCAACCAGTTTTCTAGCTAGGTAGTTCAATCAGTTCTTCAACTAAGCATCAAACCAATTCTTCTATTAGATAGTTCTATTATTTCTCTAACTAGACAGTTCAACCAATTATTCAACTAGCAAGTTCAACTAGTTCTTCTGCTATACAGTTTAACTAGTTCTTTAGGTAGACAATTCAACTAGTTCTTTAGTTATAGGAAGCTCAAATAGTTTTCTGGCTAAGCAGTTCAAATACTGTGACAGTTACACAATTTGTCAATTTACTATTTGGACAAGTCAACAATTTGACACCAGGACAATTCGCCAGATGGACAATTCAACAATTTATTAGTTAGACAGTACAACAACTAGATAATTTAAATTGATGGGCAATTCTACAACAGGGCAGTTTGTCACTGGGTAATCAAGCAATTTGATAGCTTGACAGTTTGTTAGTTTGGTAATTTGGGAAATTCAACTATTTGTCAGCATGGGAATTCAACAATTCCTTAGCTAGGCAATTCAACAATTCACTAATTGGGCAATTCATCAGTTGAATAATTAGCAATTAAACAATTCATCAACTGGTGATTAGCGATCGGGCAACTCAGTAGTCGAGTAATGAGCAATCAGGCAATTTAGTGATTTGTCAACTAGACAATTCAAAAGTTCATCTTTTAGGCATTTCAGTAGTCGAGTAATTACGCAGCTACGCAATTCAACGTTTTTGCTAGCTGGGTAATTCAGAAATTTGTCAATTGGGCAATTCAACAACTAGATAGTTAGCAATTTGGCAGCTGGGCAGTTCACTAATTCGCCACCTAGGCAATTCATAAATTCATCAACGGGGCAACTCGTTAATTCGTGAGCTTGACAATTCAATAATTTACCAGCTAGACGGTTCAACGATTCACCAATCGGGCAGCTCGGAAAGATTTTTTATATGTACACATGTGTCACAAATCAAATATTTAGGAAATTATTTTTAAATGGAATTACATATTATAATATTATGATGAATTTAAGAGAAATTTGATAGACGAGAGTTTAAAAATAACAGTCCTATTAATACATTAATTTTGAGCTTTACATTAAAAAAATTAATGATTTACATGTGTGTACCTCTGAATTTTTACGCACACCAAAACTTAAATTTTTTACATACATGTCATAGTATCCATGCATTAATGGCCGTATTTCACTTTATTTATGCAAAAAATATAGCATATACATGCAAAAATTAAATGGTATGTATTAAAAGCCCCTTGTAAAAGTAGAGTTGCGTGCGGAGTCCAATGAAATTACGCCACGTGGAGGTGACAGAAAAAAAAAACGGTCACGTAACACCAGAGAATATTCCCCTCGTGTTATTCTGTGCTATTCAAATGTTATTGTATGTTATTAAGTGTTATTGTGTTCTGGAAATATTCACCGTGCTATAATAATACAATAACACATTAATAAGACTTAAATAACACATAATAACATACATTAACGCCTGAATTACACAGGAGGAATGTTCCCTTGTGTTACCGGATAAATTTTATTTTATTTTTTCTGTTATCGTCACGTGACATGATTTCATTGGACTCCGCACGTAACTCTACATCCTGATGCAATATTTTTCAATTCTCATATATTTACGCATCTAATATCTGAATTTTTTATTTACATTTACGAGGATCAAATCTTTCAAATCACAAAAAAACATCTTTATATAATTACGGGACATATTTCTAAATTATTAGAATTTTAAGTGTTGTTTATGTAAATACGCAAGAACTAAGTGATATATTTGTAAATTTAAAAAAAAATAATTAATTAAATCCACTGTATTATTCGACAAACCACCCTTTTTCCTTTCCCGTAACCTTCTCCAACCTCTAAATTTGTGCATCGCACTGTAACAAGTCGAGCATGCCACACTAAGAAACTGTCCCACAGTCAGAGAGAGAGAGAGAGAGAGGATGACCGTCGAGGAATCACAGGCCGCCGGAGCCTCGCCGGAGGAAAACCGGCGGGCACCAGAAGACGCGGTGAACCCCCCCCCGCCGGAAACGAGCAAGCCAAAACCCTCCGTCGAATCCTGGAGCTCAATAGCCGCACCGAATACCTCCGGCGATATCTCGGCAACGATTTCGAAATCTCCGATCATCTCGATTCAAGCCACCTGCAATCATTCTTCTCCTCTCGAGTTCCCCTTTCCTCTCACCGAGACATCGAACCCTTCATTCGCCGGATCGCCGACGGGGAGCCCTCCGCCGGTCTGCTCACCGGCGAAAAGATCAGCATGCTTTCGCTCAGCTCCGGGACGACGGATGGCCGGCAAAAGCTTATTCCGTTCACCAGATTCAGTTCTCAGGCGACTCTCGAGATCTTTCGTCTCGCCGCTGCGTTTCGATCGAGGTTCGTTTTAGCCCATTTTTGTTAGGGTTTTGATTGCTGTGGATTTCTGGTGATTGATTTGTGATTTTCTTCAGATTTTGATTAGTTTTTTCAACTGAAATTTTTGCGAGCTCAGGGGAGAAAGATTCAAAGTACAGACAAATTCTTTTTTATTTTTTAATTTTTTTTTTAAATTTATTTGAAATTTCTGAGACAGACGAAATTATATATTGATATGACAGTACTTGAAGAACTGTTATAATTAATTATATATCTAGAGAGAGAAAGAGATGAGTTCTTACTCATATATTATCTTTAAATTTTGTAATTATTAATTACTTTTTATTGAGTTTTAAAATTGGTAAAATAATTCTGTTTATTTTAAAATTAAGTTTTAATAGTCTTGTATTGAAAAAAATATTGTATAAGTAGTCCTTATGAAGTTTTTGCATCAGGACTCTACTCAGGACATGATACGTGTACAGACAAACACATCAATGTATCAAAATAATTAATTTTTTACGAAGGTGAGTCTGCTTATACACGTGACAGATCTTGATTGGAGTCCTGATGCAAAACTGCATCGAGACTGATGCAATATTTTTTTTCAACAATTCTAAAAATTAGGGGAATAAAATGATCCCATGTAAATAGCAAGGAATAAGCTTTAATCCGAGAGTTTATAAAAGTATTAAAATAATTCATGAATATTTTAAAATTGAGCTCTAATAATTCATCAAGAGCAATAATAAAAAACTATTTAGCACTTTACTAATGATTATTTCATTGTAAATTTTATTATGATTAGTATAATTTGCCTTCATATGTTGTGAGAAATAAGTTTTAAGATGTAATATAAGTAAAAATTTAATAAAATTTGATGTTATATACAATGGACATTATAAAATCCAGGTATATATTCATAATTAGAAATTTTAATAATTTATAATTAAAAATAAGAAAATTAGGTTAAAATTGAAAAGGAATAGCCTTTTTATGGAAATAACTTTAACATCCATAAACTATTTGCTATCCTTTTCTTTTCCTTAAAAAAGGGGCGAATCTTACTTTTTTTTTTAATATTTTTTTATTAAAACAAAATATGTATCAGTATTAACATTATTAATATTTCCTTTTATTATTCAAATTTATTGCTGAAATTCAATTTAAATTTAGGGGTGTGAACCATCCGATTTCGAGTCGATCTAGGGCTGCATCGAAATTGGATCGAAGTATTTGTGAACGGATTGAAATTGAATCATGGAACTTTCCAGTAAATTTCGATCTGTTACAGTGTGGATTGATCTGATTTTCGATCCTGCTCAAATGCTATTTTTGGTTTTTTGGCTTAAACCCGCCTTGGTCTGCCCGACCAGGCCACCTTTTTTGTGAAGCAAAACAATCTGATTAACTGAGCTGACAATATATTATACATGTAAAACTAAACATTTAGGTGTTATTATGTAATAGCATAATAATTTATTTTGATCCCGATCCGAGCCAAGGACGGATCTAAATCAGATCAAAATAAATTCAATCCTTTAATTTGGCTTGTAATTTGGCTCGAATGGTTCCATCCAATTTTGATCTAAGCTAAAATTCGATCAATTTTTCGAGCTATTCAAGATCTTCGAGCCAATTGCACAGCCCTCTATAAAATACACTATATTTAATAGAAATTCAAAATGAAATTTTGTTTATTGTAGTTTTAAAGTTTAAATTTTAATATGAAATTTTTATTAGCATTTTGAAAATATGCCAAAAATAAATGAATGGTGTTTTTACATGCACAACCCCCACTCTTTATGCATTTACATATCTCACACTCGAACTCTCATTTTTACAAAGTATGCACCCAACTTATCTTTTTCACCCCTCTACAACAGTAAAATTCATATTTTCATCTATAAAAAAAGATGCTGATTTTATAAAAATACAAATTTGGGTGTCTGATATGTAAATACGTAAAATTGGGTGCTGTCTGTGCAAATTTCCGTAATTAAAGTAGAGCAAATGACACAAATCTTCAATCAACTTTACTATTTTGCAGGGTTTTCCCCATAAGACCCAAAGGCAAAATTTTGGAATTTATATACAGCAGCAAGCGATACGAAACGAACGGCGGCCGCATTGGAACGGCCACGACCCACTGGTTCGCCAGCGAAGAATTCAAATTGCGGCAATCGGCAACTCAGTCTTTCTCCTGCAGCCCGCCGGAAGTCATCGCCGCCGGCGACTACCGGCAGTCGACTTACTGCCACCTATTGCTCGGCTTCCTCTTCTCCGACGAAGTAGAGTTCGTCGCCTCCACTTTCGCGTACAGTCTCGTTCAGGCTTTTTCTACTCTGGAGCAGGTCTGGACTGATCTCTGCCATGATATTAGAACCGGAACGCTGAGCTCGGCAAGGGTGAGCTCTGTTAAGGTCAGTTTATTCATTCATTTATTACATTGAATTTACGAATTATTTTCAAATCTGTTTATATATATATATATATATATATATATATACAAGA